AGTTGAGGCTAACCCTGTATTCCCAGAAGGCTCATACCTTAGGACTTATGGGAATAAAGTGTTAGTCTCAACTCGGGGAAAATGCAAATTTTCAAGTGTATTGTAATAACGACATTTTCTCGTGCTCTCTTGTGTGTTAGGTCTTTGCGCAAGAGAATCTGTTGTCAAATAAAGCAGCGGTTTTGCGCTATGAATTCGAAACTGGAGTATTGAAAATACCCAGGTTTTACGCATACTTTTTTAAAAAATGTTTCAGGGATCATTGTTTCAGGTTGAAAGAAAATGAACCCAATGTGCGGTGGAAGGTACTTTAATACTGCATATAAGCCACGTCTCTGTCATGACAGAGTTTTTATAAAATCTGAGTTACATCACTAAAATACTTACACAATTGGGTTACATTGATAAAATGTACATCTTTACCAGCCACATTGGTCGCCGTGCAGCTATAAAGTCCATAATCAGCAATACCTTCGGTTTTTACTAATATCTCACTGTCATTTGAAATAGAAGAAGAAGTTTTAATGATTTCGCTTCTTTTGTTCCAAGACCATTTTGGCGCTGGATATGAGCTTAACACGTTGCAAATCAACTTTATTGTATGGCCATTCCATGACTCAACACGGGACTTATTTGACGATTCCTTGTCAATAGTTGGCTTGTCTATAAGATTAAAAGAAATACATTTCTTTCATTACACAATTATAGTAGAATCTCAATTGATACTGACAAGCATGAAGGACTTTGAGTCACGAGGCAAATAGGACTATTGAGGCGATGGAGGCTTGGGATTAATTGATTCACTTCAAATATTACAATTAGATCATACGAAATGCCCCAATTTTGGAACTTCTAGAAATTTAAGCATATGTCTTATGTACACATATTAGAAACTTGACAGAGAAAAGTTCTAGTGCCTTACTGGATTCATCCAAAGTCGAGAAATTTTGGTTCAAAAGATAAAAGAACAACAGGGTTAAGTGTATGACATCATCGCCTGTAAAATCAATGCCAAAAACTTTGAGATTATTAAAGAAAAATATTAAAAACATGTTGATACATGTAAATGATTAATAAAGCCACATCGATATGCTATTTGTAACAATTTGGGAATTTTCATATGAGTAGCCCTTTTGTAATCCAATAAATTTATTCATGGTAAAGATTAAAGTGTTTATGATATCACATATGTATTCCAAAGCTTTGACTGCAGAATCCAGGAATTGAAGTTATCAATAGAATATGAATACTAAAGGGTGGAGCTATTGGGTGAGACCAATATTGTTTTCCACCAGAATCATTCAGAGCAAGAATTTGCTTTCATGTAGATTCATTAAAATAACTTTGTTGCAATGATAAATGGACGCATCAAATGTTTTGCACTTTCATTTAAATGTGCCTCTTTTTATTCAGCCAAATTCAAGTTTTATACATGAACATGATCATCAAGTTCACTAATGTGGCTAAAATTACACCACTGTACATTTCAAACTTTTAGCATGATACAATCAAACTTACATTGTACAATTACTTTAATTCTTGCAGTTGCATTAATCCCTATTCCATTGCTGGCTGTACAAATGTATATCCCATCATCTGATCTATTGACATGGGAAATAGTGTAGTTATTCCCAGTTTTGTGTAGGGTGACACTTCCTGCTGACTTGGTCCATGAAATCTTCGGCACTGGAAAACCATCTGCTTTACATGTCAATGTTACTGAGTCACTCTCATTTACTGTGTGTTTACTTGAATTATAAACAATAGATGGATGGTCTAGGAAGATGCAGACATTACAATGTCACAATTTTCCAAAATTCTGATACAATTTTCTTGACATCAGATTTTCATTACTACTTAATTCACCACAAGAAATTAGAAATGCGGTTTAATCTTGCACATGTTAGTATTTGCTAGGGCGGATCCAGCTGAAATTTTAAGTGGGAGCTAAATGGTTTTAGGGGTCTAAATGGGCTTTATTTGTTATAAAAAAAAAATTGAAAATAATAAAAATCAATTTACTTTTTCTGCTCAGAGGGGGGCTACAGCCCCCATTTGCCCCTCCCTGGATCCGCCCTTGGTTTGTAGCTTTTACACATGAAAGTAGTGATAACCACCTACATTTACTATAAATTTCTATTCTACTTAGTCAGCGTGTTGAACGGGAAGTTGAGTAATGTAGATGTTCATATATCAAATCAATAACACTTTATAAAAAAGTTTCACTTACATTCAACAGCAATGTAAGCATATACAGTTGCATTGTAGTTTTGTCCACCAAAACTGTTTATTGCTGTACAAAAGTACTTTCCAGCATCAGAACTGATTGCAGTAATGATACCCAGTGTACCATCGGATTGTGAAAGTCCTGGTTTTAAAGGTTTATCATTTTCTCTAGACCACTGTATGGTTGCAGAGGGACTAGCATCTGCCTTACATCTTAGGTAAGCACTATTACCTTTTCTAACAGTTGTGTTGTCTGGTATTGTGGTAAATTGTGGCGGATCTATATAAAGTTAAATGTACAATCGTTCTCAAATTAATGAATTATACGAGATAGTAAAAAAGTGGCGTAAAAGGTGTTGTATTTAATTGTTAGTTTTTGAGAAGAGAGCCCAGATGATCAAGCACTCAAATTTCCCAGTCTGGGATGACATGTGATTTGAGTTTGTAGTTCGGCGAAATCTTCCGTTGCGGTGAGGGTCTTTGTCCAGGTGCGCTGTTTTTCTTCCCTTAGTCAAAAACTACAAGCTGTAGGGAATGTTGCATACTAAAGCAATATATTTAGACGACTGCTGAGTTTACACTGGTTTGGAAATATGGTCGCTTTCACGACATAAGACGTTCATTATAGAGTCCGGATATCAAGTCCAGAATATCCTTAGAGGATAGTTAATTAGTCGTTTCCTTGATGCACGTTTGAAATTTTGCCGTAGTCAGTGAGAACGATATTTCTCAGCGACAGATGTAGATAGGAGTTCTATTGCTGGAAGTCCTAGCAACGAGATTTGCATACGTCCGGCATGTCGCTGCACGGGATACAGTCAACTCTCTACGGTCACCCTTGCGGACACCCCGATATTACGTACACGAAATACTGAATCCCCTGAGAAAAATACAAAGAAATGACTGAAAGTAACTCTCGCTACTTCGGACACTAAATTACGGTCCGAGGGTGTCCGTAATATCGAGAGTTGACTGTACTCACTACTTCCGTCTGCTGGAAGTTAAGTAACTATGCGCAAACGAACAGAGTTCGCACGAGCATAGGGAAGCTTTTTAATTACGATAAGAGCCATGAAGGCTTCTCGCTCTGGTGACCTACAATCGTTGACAAAATCCTTGGACCATTCCAGCGAATTTCCTCAATTTAAGCAACACCCGCAAAATTTCATTTCCCCTGTCGTATGGAAAATGTAGAGTTCCACGTTCAATCTGGACCAATCCGTCAGATGAGAGGTACTAGCAAACTCTCGAGTTTTAAGCAGGAGTCCCATTTCTGTCGAACACTGTTTACGATGCACTGCGCTACAGTAAAACATGCTTCAGATGTCCGCCATTGGTAAGATGATTGTAGATGTTACTGGCTTAAATTTACTCGTCTGGGTGTTATGGATAAGGGAAAAGTGACTTTTAAAGACGGGTAGATCTACATTTCTGAGATCGACATCCCTTCTAGTCGTGAGTGAGGGAGTAGCAACGGCTACGAAAAACGACAAGACCAGCGAAGTATACATGGTCACCATCTCTTCTAGTCGTGAGGGAGTAGCAACGGCTGATGAAAAAGATCAGCCCAGCAAATTATGCATTGGTATACATTTGGTATTCGTGAAGAAACTGGAACGGCAACGGAAAACGAATCAAACTTGACCCAATGTCACTGGAAAAAATCGCACTTCTTGAAGGTTGTTAATTTCAATGGAAATATGATGTAAATTCAATCTATAATAATTTTAAAAAAAGGTTGTAAATATCCCGTAAGTGTCCAAAGTCATGGAAATAATCGTGTAAATTATGATTTTAATTTACATAATATTTCCATTAAATCTCATCGTTTGTAAAGGGTATAAATGTGATGTAAATCAAATTTACAATATATGTAAAAAGTGTGTAAATGTGATGTTAATATTACGTAAGTGTCCAAAATCATATGTAAATATTACATACATCATTTTTACATCATTTTTATATCAAATTCACAGCGCGTTTTTTCCTGTTATAAGTGTAATCAAACTTATTGAAATTGCAAACAAAATGCCAATCGACTTGACAAGGGAAATATTGTCCTCCATTGCTTGAGGTATACATGGACCGCGGAGAATGTGGGGGGGATGGGCTGGGGGCAACATCCAATAATTTTTCCGACATTTTGAATTTTCTTAAATAAAGAAGTGAAGAGACTCCTTGAGAAATTATACCATACATATTCTATAAAAATTGTGTAAAAACTGAGCGTGAACAATTAAAAATTGAAGCTTTTTTGCGAAGTCTTTGGGATTTATTGATAATATCGCTAACCATGTGTGCGGTAAAAATTGATAACTCCTCAAAACGTTGGAAATATGACATTTCCGAGAGTTAAGATTTCAAAAATTCCTCCCCCCCAAACAAATTCACGCTTCGCGGTGCTTAGTATTGTTCTGATCTTTCTGATTTTTTATGACCACCTATTTTATGTTTTTGTTAATTATAAATAACTTATCTAATTTGTTAATAAAAAGCTGAAAATACATATGAGAATCTTGCAAAAGCAGCTTTCACAATCTCCGAATTACGTTGCCATTGGCAGCTTGATTTTCATTGTTATTGTGTACAATTAAAATTATTTTAAGAAGGAATTTACGCTCACGGCACGAGTCCACCCTGGTGTCAGGGTCGAGTTGTTTTTAATCCACGTCGAACTTTGCTGATAAAATACGCAATGGTACGTTATTTTACGTTTCTCATGTAAATTCGCAGATAACGCGACACCTCTATTGTTAAAAAACATTGATACAATTAGCTATTCTAAGCACTAACAATAATGTCGAGTATTTGCATAACAATAGATATCCCATCATGCACCACCCTGCATATATTAACCCACGCGCTCTCTTTTGTGCCACTCTCATCTACGACGCCGTCAAGGGTAGATCGAATTTTTGATCAAAAGACTGGCTTCGCGACGCGTCATGGCTGACAATGAAAATAGGCAGCGCCCAGCACCGGCCGGTGTTCCGGTCCCAGCACCAGCAGACCCACCGCAACCTCAAGGTCAGAATGCAGAAGAGAATGCTACCGTTCAAGTTTGTGAAAAGTATATCCCTAAAAAAGTGATTGACCAGTAAGTGTAACCAGTACGTTTTGATTGAGTCTATTTGTCTGGTCATTCCCTGAGGTACCCCGTAATTACTTGCTGTTTTACATTAGTCCAAGTAATGCAAATGCCGTTTCCTTGGCTTTGGTTATTGTATCCCAGGGGACACAATGTTTTATTACAAATGCTCTAGTTCAAAATAATATTTTCCTGTATGAAATGTAAAGACTACCTTTTAGAACCGCCGGACTCTGAAGTTTTTCCCGTTGAAGTTGCCTAACCCCACGGATTTATTTGTGTTGTTCCTAGAATGCGCAACAGACACTTGAGCAGAGAATTAAACAACTCGAAGATCTCGGAAAAGCTAACTCAGTGGCTTTAGCACTTCAAATCCTGCGTAGGACGTTGGATCGATCCAAATTTGATGTGGAGGACGCGATTGCGGACCTTGAAGCCCTTGTTAGGCAAGCAAAAACCACGGAAGACCCCAAGGCTAGAGAATATGAATGTATCCTTGACGAGGTTCACAAGCACGCGAAGACGTTGCCGCGCCATGCACTCAAGGACCTGTTTGTCGCCCTGGTGGGAGACCCAGTAAAAAGCAAAGTGCTAGCAAAATCCACAAAAGTTCTAAAAGGCCTAAAGTCCTACAGTGAAAAACCTGTGCCTCTGATGGGGTCGCTTCAATATCAGCCGTACAGCTCCTTTCAGCGATCCAGTCAGCCACGCCGCGATTTCTCTCCATATCGTAGGCCAGGGCAGCGACAAAATATGAGGCGACTTACGTGCTTCTACTGTGATTCCAATCAGCATCTTATCAGAGATTGTCCCGTAAAGAGAAAAATGTGAAGTGATGAATGAAAGAG